TGGCCGTAATTGGTCGAGCACCATACCACGCGAGGGGGGGCACTGTTGCGACTGACGCCCGGACTACGGTCACTACAAGTGCTCAAAGTTTGTGATACAAGTTTCGACCACTTCCATGGAGTTTAAAATGGCTTGGAAGCCATATGGTCCTAAGCACGTAGTTCAATGATTTTGTTCAGACAGTTATCCTGTGCTTGACGGAATCCTTAAAAATCTACAAAACATGCTTATTCTTAACATTCCAGCTTACCTATTATACGACTCGCAATATGCTATAACGTGTCTAAAGGCACACTCCCAATGCAGTTGTATAATGTCGGCTCAGTGGTTAGAGCGCTGGACTTCTACCTGAAAAAGGTCGGGTGTTCGGACCTCAGGGGTGGCCCCGTGGGATTGTATATGGCTGGCTGATGATGGCTAATAAGCTAGAAATGACCTGCGATTTTCATCCAGTTTCCCCGACATGTTTGTAGTCTCAATCAGCGCAATATATCGCGTACACTGATCTGACGGGATCAATCTCAATCAAATGTTGGTTGTCGGTAAAGATATAAATGTTTGCTTTCCTTCTATCTCCAGACACCAACTGGACGCCCTGGAGAAACAACTGAATCGCCTGAAAGATGACATTGCCCTGAAGGAACGGAGTCTGCGACTGGACAGCGACTGTCTCGAACTGCGCCGTGAACGAATGGGTGGCAGTGGAAAACTGGAGGACAAGAAGCTGAACTGTCAAAAGTTGCTAGCGGAGCAGGCGACCGGCGACGAGATTGTTTGCGAGGAAAAGGCGGTCGAGAGTGTTCCCTCGTATTCCCTTCTCGACAAAAAGGCCGCTGCTTGCGCCGGAATCAGTCCCCGCTCGGGCTGTTGTGCTTGAATAGCAGATGTGTGTTTGTGTGTGACTTATGCAGCATTAGGAGACTTCTACATAATACTCCGCTTCGGCTATTCCAACTTCCTGCTGTTAGCTGCAGTTGACGGTAATGTGCTGGACCAGATCGTCGTCAGACCAAATAGAAGATAGCTGAGTGATTCTTCCTGCCTTTTGTAAATGTCCTCACTAAGTGACTCCCCTTTCAGACAACCTGCTTTGCGTACGGATAAGTTTGAGAGGGAGAAATAGAAAGGTATCATCCGCACTTTTCAGCAAAGAATGGCTCCATTCACTGAGTCCACGGACTAACTTAGCAAAGCACTCAAAAATCTAAGTTGGGAGTACCTATTGGGGTCTCAGAGGGGTACTTAAGTACCATAACCACCTACTTACAAAAGCTAAGTAGGTTTATTTTTCTACAATCTCCAAGTTTTCTGCACGTCAGCCGTCGATCCAGGAGGGATTGGATTATGGCATTGGACTGCAGAGTGGTCCTCGGAAGGCCACAGCATACAATAACCGCTTAAGTCAGTATATTAAGTAAAATCGGCTCTTCAAATTATCCACGGGAATAGCCGCTTACTCACAAATTTCCAGAAATTTGAATTTCTGCAATCTTCAAACTTCTTCACTCGTCCACCCTTATTCTAGTTGGGGTTAGCGATGCTACATAAAAATGTACCTCAGTGAGCTCGTCCGAGGTCATCGAACACCCCCCCCGACATACACGCGCTCACCGTTGGTCTGGAGGCGTAGGGGGTTAGCGATGATATTAAAGCGTCCTTCAGTGTCCCGCCCGAGGTCTGCGAACGCGTCCCAACTTACGTGCGCAACTTTTTGTTTTACAGGATTATTGGGAACTGATTTTTTCCCTGAAATGCCCCAGATGTCCTCTCCTTTAAAATCAGGTGCCCGTGAGACCGAGGGGCGTACTTCACGCGCCCCCCGGCGGCGCCACGAGGTAATTCGACCAAATCCTAGTGGTTTACATAAAATACGCATCTGCTTTGGAGACAGGTCCAATCACAGCCTTTGGGTTTCAGTTTCTTTGCACGTGAGGTAGCGTGCTACGAATATCAGCCCATAGTGTTGATATGCCAATGTTCGGCAGGACATATGCGAAAACCTCAGCGCACACTAAGTGAAAACTTCGCAGTCATTAGATCAACATGGAGTGGATGTATACGTTGATGCAGAATTCCATCAACGCACTGCTTGACTGTTCTGAAGTGTTGTTGTGTTGTAATTTTAAGTAAAAGGGTTGAAACACCGACAGCTGAAGGGGGCATGCTGAGGATACGTTTGCAAATCAAAAAGTGTTTTTATAAAAAGGCTGGAGAAATGGCAGGAGGGGGCGAATTCAGGCATCTTCAATCGTTCAGATTATGGCTTGAGGATTGTGGTAGAGACGCTGCCGATGGATACACTGTAAAAGTTTGCGAATTTTAAAAGAAAGAGTTTAATGTGAATGGAAAATGAAAGATTAGATTTCAGAGTAACACCAAGGTACCGGAAGGGGGATACCTCAGTGGGCAGAATGTGTAAGAGTTCAGGACTGGGAGAAGGTCGCAGTCGGAAAGCACACTTGACTGACTTCTATTTACGAATTGAAGCGAATGTTCGCATTCCAGGAACGTGTATATTCTGAGAAGAAGAAG